TTGACCAATTGTAGAGAGAAATTGAACAAAAGAAAGAAGAAATTGAAATTGATAATACTGACTATTTGTTCTGAGAAAATTCTGAGAAATAATTAACTTAAAAAAGATAACTAAAAAGAATGAATGACATACCCAGTAACAACAATAAATAAGGGATAACTTTGATAAAAACAACGTATTATATGCTAATCGTAATCACTTACTTTTCTTAACAATAACCATAAACATTGTGATAAAAATGTTAAAAATATATTAATAAATTGTGATAGTCGTTCGTGCGATGCAAACACTCCCAGTGATAAGGTGTTATACATAAGACAGACATTAAAAAATACATTATCTAAGGATATTGTATATCGGATGTGAAATCATTGTGGTCAGCTAATTAATCAAACATGTCAGTCAAATGACTTCATTAATCTAATTAATCTATAACATGACTACTTACTGTTAGTAACATTTGCTAGAAGACAGACAATTAAACATATTCTTTAGTATTAGTATTGCAGTGGCACGAACGAGGTAGAACAAGACACATTAAGATATTATGTTGCTCAAACAGTTTTCACAAAATTATTTTTCATTTTAGAAAAAGTTTGGAATCATCAATACATTTGTAGCTTCTGAACTATTACTTATTTTTTATTAGATAACATAGACTTACCCATTTAATGAGCGCAGATATTCTCGAAATAAGTCCCACCACCGCCTTATGCCATTTGTGTGGAAATAACTTGTGTACTGCGTCACCAAGCGTACGAAGAAGTACTTTTGTAGGCCAAACAGAATAAATCCACACGAAGTCCCAGAGATCAGAACTGTAGTTTGCGGTGCTAAAGTTATAGTCTTCCAAAACATAATCTAACGACAACATGTCATCTCAAGGCTTCTAATACTACTGCTACGTGTAATATCAATCTAATAATATGTAAACGGGACAAAGCGAAAGTTTTCCGTTTTTATTTAATGTCATACATAACATTATAATGCCTAATTCGTTTTTATGATAAAAGTATTTGGTTAACTTGTAGCACATTTTATTATAATTTTGTATTAAATATATACAAGTTAAGCCCCCCGCAAGGGAGTTCGACGCCCTCGTGAAGGTCGCCAGCAGCCGTCAGATGGGAGCAGCACAGGACCAGTTTGAAGCGGTTTGCATATCGTGTTTAAATTTTGTCAATCATTTGTCAATTTCTCAATCGGTGCATAACTTTTTGAGTTTTTGAAGCATACAGAAACCCACTTAACATTTTTATATTTATATATAATATAGAAAAAGTATGTATTACGTGTGAACCGCTATCGAACAGAATTTAACTACATTTATAAGTCACTGATTACAAATAGTTCATCCAGTCCTGTTTTTTCTTTTTATGGAAGTGGGTAAACGAACGGATGGTATCCCATGATGGAAAGCGACCACCATTAAACGCCTGTACCTCAGAAGCGCGTCGCATTTATGGATGCTACTAGTTTGCATTGATTTGCAGAAGAAACAGTGTAGGTGATAGCACATAGCCTTGCGGGACACCAGAATTTATAGATTTAAAGTCGGAGTATGTACCATCGATAACGACCTCAATGCTTCTGTCTGAAAGGAAACTGGTGACCCAGTTACATAATTTCTCGGGAAGCCCATCGGAAGGGAGCTTTAAGAGGATCACCTTATGCTAGACCCGATCGTAGGCCTTACTATGTCCAAGTTTATCGCACAAACCCCACCCTTGGTTTCGATAGTTTGTGTGTCTCGTTTATTTAACACACCGGTGTGTTAGATAAACGAGAAGCTTACCAGCTGTGCGATCTCGGCGAAAACCATATTTCTAAGTATCGAAAGGAACTGGCAGTTGATTACGCATTCCATTATCAAGACAAGGGGGTTATGGCTATCGGCCTGTAGTTGGACGGATCAGAGCGGTCAGCTTTTTTAGGGATCGGGTGCACAAACGCTACGCTTGAGTAGCGAGTTTGAGCTCTTTAGATCCAGATCACATGTCAAAAAATGTTTTAAGTCCAATTTCAGGAGCGTGATATTTTCTTAGTCTAAGTTTTTCATTTCTTTTTGTTTCCAAATATCTGTTATTCCTATCTTTCTTTCTTTCTTCTATCTTTTTTTTTCTCCTGCATCACAAGTATTACCGTACATCACAGAATATACAAGACATTACCTATTAAAGATTTATTAACTTCAAAACTATAAGAATATTTATTATTAATAACACTAAATGACCTATTCTTATCTACGAGTATAAACCATAAACCTGTAACTAGAATGGTTTTCCGTGATTTGTATAATTATTTTTAATATTCTACGAGTATTTTACGTACCTTTTGTAACAATCACAATTGTCATTTACAAGTCTCGTTAATCAATGGACGAGCTCTACACAAGTATTACTTGTCCACGATTTATTTTTAACAAAAATATAAATTTATTGCAATAGTGGGACCCTTTTTTGTCACAAAAAATTATAAAACTTATTTATTTGAACTTGTTTACACAAATTGTTGTATGCATATAGCAACAATAAAATAGCGCTAACACATAAATTATACTCTCCATTGCTTTCTATTGGCGGGCAAACTTTTAGAAAATTTAACTATTTGACAAGTTTTGTAATTAGGAAATACGAACACTGCACTTTAGACTTTCATCGTCCCGAACTTACAAAAGACAACTTTAGTTCGCACTATTCCTAAAAAGGTAACCACTTGGATTCTTCCTTCTTAGACAAACCCAGCAATAGCCGTAAATAAAACTTATCGTCATAACCTCCTTGTTCTCGATGTTACCTGAATTCACTCTAAATTGCTAGCGCGGCATCGGGATTCGTGCAATCCGTTGGCATTGCATACCTGACTCACTGGTAGGCACAGGTAAATGAAACCAAGGGAGAATCTAGTGAAGTTAATTTGGACAAAGGCCTTCGATCGAGTGTGGCAGAAAGCGCTTCATACATTCATTGCCATACGGATGTACCCGCATTGACAACTTTTCTCGGAAAGGAGTCATAGAAAGCCGAACCTAACTTGATCTGGAATCGAAACTTCCTTAATGGAGATTTAAAATTTTGGTTGAGTTAATCCACTCCAAATTAAACCCTATGAATACAGATTTACGCGTTTACCGAAAAAAAGATATATACTGTCGTAGTGCCTTGCGTTGAGAGCATTTCCCTAACTGCCACCATCAGTGTCAGAATCCTTGTCGTAGAAATATCGAGTGAAGTCTCTCTCTGCATTCTCTATCGCTTTTGTTACAAGAAGAACTCCAAGGAATTGCCCAAACTTACTTACTCTCTGCCATTGTTCAACGCGACAAAACTTCTATGCACCCATTAATTAAACAACTGACGCTTCACCACATGGCGCTTTTCAAGAAACTCTTTGCCTGGCATAACCAATGTCTGGAACAAATGCATGGAAATTTCATCGTGTGATACCCATGCTTCGGTACACACACAGGCCAGGCTCGACCGGAATAAGACCATTGTCTCATATAAAACCCGTGCTAAGCAGTTATTTCGTTGCCTTTTACTGACTGAGTAAGGTTACCGGATCCCAAACCCTCCGCCACCTCCTGATTCTTTGGGGGGAGACTGAAAGGGCGGCAACGGCGGAAGTCACTTACCATCAGGTGACCCATCGGCACGTTTGCCTTTCTATACCATAAAATAAAATATAGATATTAATGTATGTTTTGTCTTTCAATATTTTCTATATTTCTATACCATGAAATATATCTGCCAATACGAGTACAATATGTCGTCAGCTGTATTACCGACATTGCGGTATTCAATCCTGCAAGAAAAGATGTCCTTCTCAACGCCAAAGCCAACGGGTCGGACATTGAAAAAAAAAAAACTACCTATTGTTCCTCTCTGATGTTTTATATTTTGTTCTTAATAGAAATAAATGCTATTTTCAAGAAAACTAAAAAGGTTTCAAATGTAGGTGCACTGTAAAAAAACTAAGGTTGAAAAGTTTGTTTTTTTGAAATGTGTCCCTTTTACTCGCACGGTTGCGCGACTGGAACACATTAATTATATGTGAGAAAGCCACGACCAAAAGCCAATTGTATATGAAATTTAAAGTGTATATTATTTGAAAATAAATAAGACTAAATAAGGCTTTCAGTCGTGTTCACACCAATCAGAAAGCATTGCGTTAACGTATGCATTCTGTTTCAGGCTCTTAATCCAATTGCCTAACGCGAGCCTCTAAAGATGTTGGTCGAGGCTCTTAGCAATTAATCCATAGGCCGAATCAACAATCTCGTGGGCCAAATCCAAATACTTTACTTGTTTATCTTTTTCAGCTTTCAAGAGATTGTCGTCATGTGGAATGGTAATGTCAACAATCATTGCTCGGCGCTCTAATCTGTCTATTACCACTACATCAGGTTTATTGGCAACAAAAGTCCTGTCAGTAATAATAGGGCGATCCCAGTACAACTTTGCATGACCATTTTCAAGAACTGGGTTAGGCAACGTAGCAAAGTCCATTGTTTTTGTTGTCATTTTTATACAATAGAGCAGGAACAAAGCAGGTTATTTAATATATTTTGCCTTTTTGTAAATTCAAATCGCTTTAAAAAGCAGTATTTGAGTCAGTGTATTTTAATTCACCTACCGTTTCCTTATATATTTACTGTTCTAGACATAAATCAAAAGTTTATTTTGTTCTTTTACGTTAGGCCACCACATAGCCTTTGCTACATGAGGAATTAGTTACTTAAAAAAGTAACGTCCTGACAAAAACCATATTTTTCGTGACATTCGTAACTCATGGGTGACTAGTGCGAGTTCAGTCCTATCTTCACCAGGTGCGAGTTTCTGTAATAAGTAGTAGGTACTTGGTCTTCAGTCTTATTCCAGCCTTCTTATATACGAATTCTTATCCTTCTATTGTCTTCACTCAGATGAGTTTAGGAGTATAGTCATGGTGTACTATTTAAAAGCGATGCTAAATAAAACCTTAATAAGAACAATAAATATTTATTGGACATTTATGTCATATTGAAATGTGCTTGGGGTGTTGTTTCTTTGGTCCAGGTTCGCTGATTGTGGTGGTGATAATGTTTGCGTTCTATAAAAATCTGAAAATAAATAATAAAGTATGCATTAAATGAGGCGACAATCTTTAGTTCTTGAGTGACGTAGACATTCCTGATAGAAAAATTAATAAAAGGAAGAATCTTAAGTGTTCACAGAATAAAATCGCGACAAAATTTTAGGTAATGCTATATACACTACACATATTCTATTTATATTAATACGAATTATAAATACAAGTAATAAAGAAGCGTCTAATCGCAAATCGGCACAATCAGAAGCAGTTTGCCAATTTCCCTATGTCATCGGCTTTGTGATTCAGAGGTAGGAATGTAGGATTCAGTAGTAGTAAATTATGGTGCTGTAGTAACTCCTAATAAAAGTATCATCTTAGCGGTAGAGGCTAAATGAAATAATAAAACTATACGCAGTGTTATGGTTTTTAAGAACTTTATTGACATATATAGTACATTTACCAAGCAAAAAAATACTCGTAATACCTTGTCTCCCAAGGCTTTCTTTGTTTTTGGTTAGATTGGTTTTTATATATGTACTTCCGCGAGGGAGACCAACAATCCCAAGGTGGCGTTTGGTTGCTGGTAAATAAGTCCCTTACTGACAACGTTGAAGAAATTTCCAGTGTGTCGAACAGGGTAGCGTACCTCATTATCAAGCTCACCGATAGATATAGCCTCAAGGTTGTGCAAGTGTACGCACCGACCTCGGCACACTCGGACGACGAGGTGGAGGATATGTACGATGACATATCGAGGGCCCGCCACTTCACAAATAAGACCCACTACAACGGAATCGGTACTAGGATCCCATGGATTTGGAAGCAGGAATCATAGGAGGCAAATGCTGATCAACTACCTCGAACGGGAGGTGCTCTTTTTGATGAACTTTTTCTTCAAGAAACCGCCCTTAAGAAGTGAACGTGGCAAAGCCCCGACGCTATGACCAGAAATGAGATGGATTTCATCCAGACGGGTAGAAATCACATATTCAGAGACGTCTCAGTAATCAATTGGTTTAATACCCTTAGTGATCACCGACTTGTCCGGGGCTCTCGGAATATCAACTTTAAGGCTAAACGTGTCTGTTTGATGAAATCCAGGCTCTGACCGACTCTGCTCCAAGCCATCACAGGATCTGAAACGTTCCAGTCAAAACTGGAAAACCGATTCGCGCTGCCGTGGAAACCACAACCGACGTAAACCAGAACCTCGAAAATGTGGGTCGGATCCTCAGGGAAGAAGGTATGAGATTTTGTGAAATGCAGCGTAAGGGCAGAAAGTCGAAGCTTTCAGAAAGGAGCCTAGGGCTGATGAATAAACGACGTGAAAACCCACCTGTCATTTGGTTGGCAAAGTGGACTCTAAACCGAGAGATCACCTATAATGTAACCTTGTGCCTTGAATAAATAATAATAATAAAAAAAAAAAGTAAACTCGTACGACACGACATCCGGTGCTCCAATACTCTTTCAATTGAGAGAGCGATCGAGCAGAATCGGGGGTCATAAGTCATAAACAATCTCTTCGAAGAAGCCACCTGACAAAGTTGACCACAGAAAGTGGAGAAGTAGTTGCTTCGAAGCCGTCAGTCCTTTTGGAAGTGGAAAGCTTCCATGGCCGGTTATACGCTTAGCATGCATCTCGACCTGATCCCGAAAATGAGGACTCTAGAGCCACATTAACACGTCACTACACCGAAGACCTGCCAGAAGTTAGCATTGACGAAATCGAGATGGCTCTTGGACAGCTGAAAAATGGAAAAGCCCCTGGAGAGGATGGCGTTACAACAGAGCTGCTAAAGTCCAGGGGTAAACCCGTACTAAGGGAGCTCCAAAAGCTCTTCAACGCTGTCCTATTTGTAGGGAGAACTCCGGAAGCGTGGAGTAGGAGTGTGGCCGTCTTGTTCTTCAAAAGGGGTGACAAGACCATGTTAAAGAACTATCGACCCTTATCCCTTGTAAGCCACGTCTACAAGCTGTTTTCGAGAGTCATCACGAATCGTCTTGCGCAAAGACTCGACGAACTCCAACCACCGGAGCAAGCTGGGTTTCGGAGCGGATATGGCACCATATACCACATCCACACAGTGCGGCAAATTATACAGAAGACCGAAGAATATAATCAGCCTCTGTGTCTAGCATTCGTGGACTATGAGAAAGCCTGATGTGGTCTGTTCTGGAGTCCCTGCAGGGTTGCCAAGTAGATTGGCGATACATCCAAGTGATGAAATGTCTCTACGAAGCCGCCACCATGTCCGTCTAAGTACAGAATCAGCAAACAAGGCCTATACCATTGCATCGAGGAGTGAGACAAGGGGACGCTATTTCCCCGAAATTGTTCACAAATGCAATGGAGGACCTATTCAAGACGCTGCACTGGAAAGGGCGTTCAAAGTCCCTCAACGTGCTATGGAAAGGGCTATTCTCGGCGTTTCTCTAAGGGATCGCATCAGGAATGAGGTGATCCGGCGAACGTAGTGTAGGAGGCCCACAGGCCAGATGGAGTGGCGATTTGCGCAAGATGGCTTTCAGGAGCTGGATGCGAGAAGCCTAAAATCGATCTAAGTAGCGTGCAATGGGAGAGGCCTATGTCCAGCAGTGGACTGTGATAGGCTGATGATGATGATGATAAATCATAGCAGGGGTAAGTACAATGTGGAATATTCATTTCAAGGGCCACTTGTTGGGTTGCTCAATTTCAAATCGTTCTTCAAGGATAGTGCTGAGATCTTGTCATGACTATGATATCAAAGGCCAAAGCTGAAAGAGAGGCGAGATGCCGCCTTGAAAACGTCTTCCAAAGTAAACGATGCGGTTTTGGAGATGTTATATCTTCAAAACCGCTTCCGTTCCATGGCTCTATAGGTATTCCTTTAAGCAAGACGAGAATTAGAGTTTCTGAATGTCGCCATGTACCAGTCGCTTTTAAAACTTCTTTTGTAAATCCGTCGTCCGTATGTTGAATTGCTGTCTCAAGTATTTTTGTGATAAAGATTTTCTTTTCATAACACTAATCTCTAGCCCAGTAAACACACTTAAATATTTTTAAGTAAGTTTTTTTGTAGAAAGAATATATTGCAAAAAAAATCGAACAAAGGCTTAACATACAAACCATTGTGCATTAAACATAGTATGGCTGGTATAGTATTTTCTTTAATAATGTAATTGAATAACATAATTAGAGATAATATCACCTGCCTGCAAACGCTTGGACTGAGGTGTTTCTTCGGTTGATTTTTGCAGCGCATTCTTACTATTTCTATAGGCGCATAGACATAAATAAGTCAATGTATACCATTCTATTACTACTAATCGAAAAGTTTTCATTTTATAAAAAAGATTTTATAAAAGAGACTATTAACATTTTCTTATCAGTCATGTTCAGTTAACAATGTGCAGTAAAAATATTATGTACATACATTTATAGCATGATGTAAGCTAAATCGTGTTATATATTTTTAGATATCATTAATGATTCCAAACTTATCTATTATAAAAATAAAATTGTACCTGACAATAATTTTGTGAAATACATCGAGTTTTTACGGTAAGCCGACGTTTTGATTATTATGAACAATAAGCTGATTATTACATATATTTTATGACAGATTGGTTTTACATTGGTGCCCCGATTAGCGACTATCAACCAACTGTGGAAATAAACCTTTTGTTGTAATTACGTAGAGGAATCCTCCAATGCAACAGAGATATCGCAGTAGCTCGATTTCTTTATATGATAATAGTAACTTGGCCGTTTTTTTTTGCTTATAGGCAATAAACGCGTCTAGTATTCCCACAATTGACTCCTTCTGTCACTCCAGTGGCACAAGCGAATGCCGCTAGGGGCTTTTCCTTAATTATGGATGATTCCCAAGAAAAAATGTCCGTCATTCTTTATTATAAAACCTGCGAGATAGACTTTTGAGACTAAATATTTGAGGCTTTTTTATTATTGGATTATTTGAAGTAAATGAAATAATGAAACGTAGAGATGCACTACTAACAAACGTTATTGTTGTGTACCCCAAATTTTATAATCAATTCAACTTTTAGAGCGTTTTATATATTGCGTGTATTTCCATTTATGATGTTGTATTTTATTATTTATTTTATAGAGCTTTTGTAAGTTTCACGCCTCTTGAAGAGGGCAAACTCAATTTCCAAATAATTATACATGACAAGAAACGATAATTAAAGTCTTCTAAACAGAGTATTTAACTCTACTAATGACCGACTGATTGTTGAGATTGTAAAATAATTTGTTTGATTAATAAATCGATTGGAAACGATCAGAAGAGATAACATTATCCTGTTTAAATTTATAAACAGATATGCAGAAATAGAAACAAGGTTGTAAACAGAAATACTTAATGCACATGTAACGTCACAATTTAAGTCTTTAGTTATCAGATTAGATTATAAATTCATTTCCCCTTTCCACCGGCCACTGTGTTGAGTATTTCTATATTTCATTCAATAAAACCTCTGAGTAAAACATCTCAGGATTAATGCACTTTGCCAAGTTTTAGTTCTTGTTTACTTGTACTGATCAGCTAATAAAGTCTCACAAAAATAACTTCTAGCACTTTGTGTAATTAAAAGACTATATTTATAGACATATATTTATAGAATGTTCAAGACAAAAGTTACCTTCAGGAGCGACCCTTGATTCTTGTGATAAGAGAATGGGGCCCAACACCGTTGTCAGCACGGAGCCCAAAGTCGTCGTTAGCAGTATAGCAATAACGATGATATTCGCATGCTGGGTTGCTATTTTCTTATCTTTCGCTGTGGCGTCATCCCACAAAGAATCCATTGCAACCCGTACAAGGACCGCCTGAAATTCGTATTAATTTAATGAATTCAATTCAATGAAATAAAAACAAACTCAATTTAGAATTGTTTTATGTACTAATTTATTATTTTTACTGTTATGTATAGTATACTTTACACGATAATATGCGTAACGACACCAAAACGGCAGAAAGCGTGAATGTTGTACCTATATATCTCAGAAATTATCGATGCAGTAAAAATATCAATGATCTGTTCTGTTAGTTTTTAAGGTGACATGGTTAATCATCATTCAGTTTTCGGAGTTAATGCCGACTTTGATTTATATCATTTTAAAAATAAGTTTGTCATTCCTAACCTATGTGAATCAATTGATTTATCGTTATTTAAAATCAAAATTGATGTGACTTGATTAACATAGGTGTTCTGGAAAAAGCTATAGCGATAATATTATTATATTATTTGCGCATGACAGATTCCAGACAGATTTCATTTAATTATATGTAAGTAAGGCAGACTTGTAATGATACAGTTTTATTTCTGATACGTAGAATGAATAAATCAATTAATTACATCCTTAAAAACATTAATACGACAGGTCATCAAAACCACGAACCATTGCTTTTTGAGTGTGAGACCTATTCCGATACCCTTACATTAGTTACATAATTATCGAATTATCGATCATTGACTCGGTGTGAGTAATAGTCAAAGGGCTACAGATACACACACACACACATACCCAGATGGCAATAACGAAATCAGGCATAACATTATGTGCAATTGCAACATAAGCTAAATTTGTTAAAGCACCAAAAGCTATACTTTGTATTTTTTCCCAACGACAACTAATACAACACTAACTCAATAAAGCAATCATAGTATTCATTAGACGTGGTAGTTTTTATAAAAAGTAAATGGAAGTTACAATTCCTTAAAAAAACATTTTTAATAAAAAAGAATAGAGATTACAGCTTATGTACTTTCTAAAATAAACCGTTTTGAAAACATTATTAAGAGACCTTTAAAGGTTCTTAAGGATCAAGAAGTGGCTATAACTTTTTAAGATGTTTATCAAATCAAATCACCTGGCGAGATGCTGTTTGTTATATTATATCTATATCAATACTATATCTCTCAGTGGGTACATATATACGTACATATATAAACACCCCACTGCGAGATATATATATATTTATACGAACATATATATTTTATGTTTTAAGTCATGTCATTCCCTTCTCATAACGCTGCTATATATAAAGTTAAGAGGGTAACATTTTACTTGTTCATTTAGCATTTAGCAGTGTCAAGGTTCAACGTGAGGTTAGTAGGCTAAGGTTATAAGTCAGTCAGTTAGTTGGTAAGTGGTTTTCATCTACAGCCATTTGTTGTCCGTGGGTAGGTCCTTAAGGTACCTTCATAAATCGCTCTTACATACGAAATTGTATTGTAGGGTTACATAAGTGTAACGCCATATTCAAAATTAAGCAAAATTAACAAGTGCTGAAAAGGATTTCAAGTGAAATTTATTATGATTAAAAATGGTGTATCTATATAAATATTATATAACGTTTATATTAATAGTTATATACATGTTTTAACGATAACTGATTTGTGCGGCAGTTAAATATTGCACTGTGAGTGGTAAGATTTTGGACAGCGTGTCTTTTTTATATTTTTATGTTAATAGTAATGATGCTTAGGTACAATGTTTATCCGTGTTCTAAAACTAGCAAAAACGCTTGCTATATAGAGCTGCGTGATATTTCGCAGAATGTATATTCAGGCGCAAGGGTTACATGCGGTAGGCTCTTTTCCGGTATCTTTATCGTAACATATATACAGGATCTGGGTAGTTTTTCACGTCCTATTTGTTTTTTATTTCAATTCTTTCCTTATAGTTAGTTGCTGAAAAGTTCGAATACTATTATTTCTCCTCTGGAAATGGATATTATTAATTTAATTATTATGAATTAAACTAACATGTTAAAGTAATTCTTCCATCTCTTGGCAAACTTTTATTTCTGAATATGAGATACCCTATGCCCTTTGCTATCTTTGGCAATGTATGTGCAAAATTTCAGGAAAGAACAACACAGGAAAAGAAACATAGATTTTTACATATAAAAAGGTACATTCACATTGTGTCAATATTTTAAAAGCGTGTATGTATAGCCGAAAAACTACTATGGTCGAAAATGAACTGTCAAAAAAGGACAAAAAATTGTTTTTGTTTCATTGAACAATAATACTTGTATTTTGTTAATTTTATGACAATCTCTGACCAAGGATTTTGATATATTGGTATGTTCGGATAAAAAAAATGTCATCGATCTTTTTTCAAATAACAACAATTCCTGAAAGTGGTTTAGCGCTTTACATTATATTATTCAAGGGGTCTAAGATATAACCCTAAAATATGAACACACCTATCTGTAGCAACATTTATGTACAATTGCTAATGTATTTACTACAATATTTACTGACTACGTTCCTAATACTTGAAAACTTGTAAAGCCTTGTTGACCCTGTTAACATAAATATCTTTAAATACATGACGTATCATCATGACATTTACAACATTTTTGTGGTAAAAAAGTAAGTATTAAAGTTACAGAAGTTGGCTCGAGAATATTTTTAATTGTAGTCACAAGGACTTGAAGTTTCATTTAGAATTTAGGTAAAAAATATATTTATTTTTAATTACACGTTAAGATGTCTACATTATATTACACTAGTAAAAAAAAAACTGAATAGATGGGACTGGGACTTATTATGGTAATTATTTTCAGTAAATAGTGTAGCTGAAAGATGATGCTGTAAATTTCTAGAACACCGGTAATGTGTTACCAGCAATGGATAAAAGCATCTTAAATACCATTAGTAGTAGTAGTGTTCAACTACTCGTAATAAATTAAATTATATTTATGTCATGTCACTTATCTCACAGGATTACCACATAATATAGCAGCGAACGAGATAGCTAAGATTACAATTGTATTATGAATCATTTAAGCATAGATTATTTTATATAATATTTGATTAAGATACACTCAAATAAAATGCACACAACACAAACTTTATCAATAGGTACGTGTCGTCACCAGATAGAGAAGTGATTTAAGCCAGTTTGAATTTATAAGAGTAGTAAGTAAGTTATTTGTTTTATTAGTTTCATTCTTAGAAAAAAAGGTGTTAAAATTGTTTACCAGGGGAAGTCCATTACACCTTTATTTTTTAATTATTTTTTTCCGTGCGGAAATCCCCTCGGATACCACCTATCGGTGCCATGTCGGACTCGAACCAACTAAAACCGCACGCCGTCTCGGGTACTAATAGCCGGGGAACCAGGTATACCCTAGAAAGGAAGTCCCTGGTGCCCCGACATAATGCGGAAATCCCCTCGGATACCACCTGTCGGTGGCATGTCGGACTCGAACCGACTAAAACCGCACGCCGTCTCGGGTACTAATAGCCGGGGAACCAGGTATACCCTAGAGAGGAAGTCCCTGGTGCAAGTCTATTACACCTAATAGTGTATTTAATGGTTTCACACATCTCACACACGGCTGTCTGATCCCAAACTAGGCAGAGCCTGTACTAAGGTAACCAGACTGCTGATAAACATACTTATATATTTCTAAATACATACATATTATAGATAAATTACACCCAGACACAGAACAAGCGATCGTGCTCATCACACAATTATTTGCCCTGGGTGGGAATCGAACCCACGACCTCTAGCGTAGCAGTCAGGGTCACTAACCACTAGACCAACAGGCCAGTAAAAATTTGGTTTAATAGTATGTACTATGTTCCAGTGTTTATGTAACATAAATATTGTATTACTTTGAGGGTCAAAAAGCTGCCCCAACAAACTATTAAATCTATCTATATGTAGATAGATAGGCGGCGGTAGTCGCTTTTCATCATCCCGTCTGCTCGTTTGCCCCCATTCCATAAAATAATCTTATTTCGAACTAGCTAGAAGAGATTTAATTTTTATGTTAAAAAAATTGCTTTTATTAGCTTGGTATGTGAAGTGTCTCAGTACGAGTGCACTTTTTATTTTAAAATAAAAGTTGTTGTGATATTTTAATTGGATTGTAAAGAAGACATGTTCCGATTAAGTATGGAATAAAATACCCGGCAAATGGCCCCCACGGCTCTGATGACAGGCCATTACTCTTTTCATGAAAGTTTCCATGACTTTTACACAGAGATGTGGCTTTATCTCACCGATGATGCATATGATCTCTGATTTGAACTCAGGAATTGTTTCTGGTTTATTTGCATAAAGCCGAGATTTCACAAAACCCGAAAGAAAAAATCCCACAGCGTTAAATAGCACGATCTTGGTGGCCAGTTGACATCAGAATTTCGTGAGATAATGTGTTCTGGAAATCGTTGCTGCAATAAGTCGATTGTTTCATGCGCGGTGTGGAAGGTGGCACCGTCCTGCTGAAACCACATGTTGTCCAGATCCATGTCGTCCAGTTGAAGCTCCGTTATCATATTCCTGTAACGAATGCCGTTCACAGTCACTGCAATTTCAGCCTTAACTTCAAAAAAGTAAGGCCCAATCACGCCACCTTACCAAAATCCGCACCGGTTTCTCATGGATTGCATGAGGATTTTCTGAGCCCCAAATTCGACAATTTTGTGTATTCATTAAGATGGATACGCGCTTCATCGGAGAAGATGACTTTTTTCGAAAAATTGGCATCGACTTCACTTTGCTCCTTTACCCATTGAACGAATTGCCAGCGCTTTCCATGGTCTGCTTGTTTGAGCTCCTGAGTTATCTGAATCTTGACGAATGAAGGTGGAGGTATTTTGACAAAATTCGCTGCGTGAAATTTGAAGTTGTTGAGAACGATGCCGAATTGATGTTTTCGGGTTTTCGGCGACACTGTTTTCAAGAGACCGACCGGTACGTTGACGCCAAGGATTCTTTATCCTCTCTCTCCATAATCGACCTAGCTGTTCAATTTTTTTGACCACTCTTCGAATGGTTGACACATTAGGTGCACTTTCTCCACTTTGGCGAAGTTCTTCAGCGTTCCCCATTTTTGTAATGAGTTTTCACAATTTTACCGCTTTGTTCTTTTAAAAAGCGCTCCATTTTTCAATAATCGGAATAAACATAGGTAACAGCTGTCAAAGTTCAGAGTTGCCAGTTGCACGAAAAAAAAGATTCTAAATTTAAAAAGTGCACTCTTATTGAGAAATCCTTTATGTATGTATGTAACCGTATCTTCGAATGTGATTTTGACCCACTTCAAACGTCGAATTAAATTGAAACTTTGCACACTTATCAAGGATCGATGACAATGCAAAAATTTAAATAGTTTCTCCTATTATCCTGATCAGGATCTTTAAGATTAACGGCTTTTTCCATACCTAAAAATATGTAGTGTCTTTTGCCACATACTAAGGCGGGTGTTGAAGCATTTGTGAAAAACTAACTTGTTACTTTTTTATTCTTAATAAGATAATAATCATAATTAATGACAAAAAAGGAAAAATAAAAAAAAGAGTTTAAAAAAACACGCTTTTGTAGCTAGCCGAACTAGAAAGTAGGAAATAATTTTCTATTTATTTAATAATAATAATTTTATATTCTAAGTTCAAAAAGAAAAATCCATTGATTGTAAATAAAGCGTGGGTGGTTTTCAAGGTATTTTATAATATCATAACTAAACTTTACTAAAATCTGTCAGTGAAATATTTTTACAACAATTGAGAGGTAGCACCAAACGCTTACGCTAAAATGAATTTTCTTTTCAAACTTATAGAACATGATTTCATACTTTTTAGTTCGACTAGCTACAACAGCGTATTTTTTTTATTTTTTTTTACCTATAAATTATATTTAAGTTGCATTTATTATTTGTGATAGATTTTTAACGACTATGTTAAGTATCTAGTCTACAACAAAAAATGGCACCAAAGCATATAAGTATGGCTACTTGGAATGGATTCGATACATTTAATTTATATTATTGCAAAACTAGCTGAGTCTGAATTCTAAAGAAATTTAAATGAAAGTTACCTCCACAATGGCTTTGGGTATCCAAGTAACGGCGATAAAAAGACTTTCTTTGACCGACAGCTCGTTAGCCAGCGCTACCAGAAAAGCTGTTAGCAACCGCAACACTAGCGCCGCGAAGATGCATCCCAGGATCAAACAGAGCTCCTTACCGCTTATTTCTGATATCTGAAATAGTGCTCTCTTTGTAGACTTTGTTGGTTTATTAAAAGGTAAACTTTCTATCTTATTGCTCATTGTATTTAAATACCAACACTTGTAGTGGTATTGATTTAATTTCTATTACATCGCATTTTATTTATTATAAATGTAATTTCACACAACATATCTTTAATATTTTGAATAATATAAAGAAATACTATTTAATTTGGGATGAAGTATATATTTCTTATATTACTTCACGTGGAAATAAAAGAATATCATCTCATAATGACTTCGTGTTTAGGATTTCATAGGATTTCAATAAGGTAACCCTGCGATCAGACACACAATTGCTCTCGAGTGTATTATAATTTTATAGGGCACGGCTCGTTTTGTGTGTTAGTTGAGGTTCAGTTTTACTTAATTTTTAATTAAATGTACTATTAATAATTTATGGTGCATCCTTAACCTTTAGCTCGAAATTTCAGTTTTTACATAAGCGCCCTTCTCAGCCTACTCCGCTTCTTTATAAAGAAAATATGGCAGTTTAAAAATATATAGCAGATAAGGAGTGCTTTATACGCTTCTCTAATAGATCTTAATAAACATGAAATTCAGATGTCAAAGACTTAGAACCGTGTATATAAGAGACAATTTAAAAGTAGTGTCTCTTGATAATATATCAATATATTTTACTGGTTCTTAAATGAATGGCTACAAGATAAACTACTTATATTTACAAATGCTGTTTCAAATTAAAATAATTATAATAGGGAGTGCAAATTTATAAGTAGAATATGACTGGTAAATACAGTTAGATATGTACATCTAGAAAATACCCGCTGAGGGTGAAGAGCATAGGTTCAAATATTCTCCAAAGTAGTTTGTAGACTTCCCAGACAGGATTGTTCGTGAGCGGCCAATCCCGACGCGCCCACCTCGTCGCTGCTGTGCCAGCACATACCATGATTGCAACACCGGCTGAAACAATCAATTGTAAAGATTAAAATTAATATAACCTTGAACCAAGTAATTACAAGTTTTTTCAATGACAAAAACTAGCATGAATATTTTGTATGAACATTTTCACAAGTTAGTTTTAATACAATTTTGTCGTTTAGCAAAAACTAAAATAGTAGTGTGTTAGTTTAACTTTTAACAAATCTCAAATCAGGATTTTGTAATTTTTTCGGCAACTGCTTAAGCTCCTTAGAAAATTGAAACTTACTGGTAGGTAACAACGAATAGAGCAGCGTAATAAACATTTTTAATTATCTAATACCTTTAAACGAGCAATTCTTGTAATTATGTATATAACTATGTATATATAATCTGAATCTCGGAAACGGCTCCAACGATTTTCATGAAATTTAGCAAAGTTCGGTCATCCAGGTAATTTTTATTATTTGTGGTGGTGTGCCCGAATTACAATTACATATGTATTTAAAACGAAGTCTATATCCAGCTATAATCATGTAAGTACCTATCAAACGGACAGTATTTAGTTAACGGACTATGAGGAATAAGTATTTCTTTTTCATATTTGATATATTATTATGTACAATTGTACCTATACTCGTATATTATTTTATATGTCATTGTTCAGTTTTGTATCCTTTTGGTACTATACTCATACTATATACCTTTTATTTGCCCCCTTTTATTGGTTTGTACGCTTTTTGGTTACAGAAAATAGATACAAACAAAAAAAAAACACAAAGAGTAAAGATTTAAATTATTTGACAACATTATGTGAAATGTTAGTCTTTGTATTCTAGTTAATAAAGTGTAATTACTTATATTAAAGCGCATCATGAGAAACGCGAACGAAATGATTGTTCTTAATCGAAGTTAAGTGATGCGAAGGTCAGCCGAGAACCGAGAATAAATATTAAAAGCGCATTTAAATAAACAAATCAGAATGAGTGTATAATAATATTTATTGTGAATAATTTTCTTTTCATTGAACTTGCTTTAAATTAACTCCTTAAAACATTTAAATTTCAAATCCATTGAAATATATAATTATATGAAATTTCTTTACTATATTTATTTTATAAGTCTATGGCTTCAACCAATCTTGTCAAATTACGTATCATATAGTAATTCGTACGACTGAGGCATTTTATAATGCGAAGAAGATACTGCATGCAGTATTATTTTATAAATCAAGACTAAGCTATATAGACAAGGCCTCATTTGTATTTGTTTTGGTAAAAACTTTAATGTGTGATATTCATACAATATTTGGTTTACTAAGATGCATATCGATGATCGATACCCGATGGTAAGGCCAATTAGTTTTGTGCCAGACGTCTATTTCTTATCAACTGCTGAAGGCACTTGCCGGCTTCCGCAAGCCGCATTTAAATATTTGTACATATTGTTATCACTTGATGGATTGATAGATATAATTATTTATTGTCCCCCAAATTTTTGTCAGTAATTAAAGATTATATGAACAATTGATGGCAGCAAGTATAATAGGCGATCTGATTGATAAAAGCGGTGAATTCAATACATCCTTTGTGTAGAAATAACAGAGGAAAATAAGTGGTCACAAGTATTTAGAGGGACGTTTATAGTATAATAACAAATAAAATAATTAAATAATCAAATAAATATAAAAGTGGTATCATAAACAGCAAAAGAAAATTCTAATTAGGACAATCCTTAACATGATGACAAAGAGAAAGAGAGAAAGGAGAGAGAAAATTAGTATTATTAAATACGACAAGGCATACAACTAAGAAAATAAAGAACACAAACAATGTTAAGCTAATTATGTCCAAAAGACTTGTAGCCTTACGTTGAAGTATAATAATATAATATATATAATATATTCTACCACATAGAAACAACGCCATCTAGTCCCAAACTAAGCAGAGCTTGTACTATGGGTACTAGACAACTGATATAAATACATATATACTTTTTTTTTTGTAAATACATACATATTATACATAGAAACACCCAGACCAAATCAAACATCAAATGTTCATGCACACAAATCTTTGACTTGAGCGGGAATCGAACCCGCGACCTTTGGAATAGCAGTCCGTTACACAAACCACTATGCCATCCAATCGTCGTGATATTATAGTCTATCGTAAACGTATCGTGTTAATGTAGCAATAGGCGACTTTTATTTCTTATTTAAAAACAAAAATAAACTGAAAAGTAACTTTTCATGTTATTATCTAAAATGCATATTACATGAGCAATAATATTCAACGAGAATTATACGTTATAGCCTTTAAATCGTCCTAAAAATAAATCGCCTGTGTACAAAAAATCCGTATCCAATTTGGCTCAGGTATGACAGCCGATTGCGGCGTCACCCACCAGATCCAATTGAGTTTAATCGCGGGCTCCGGTCAAATATACATAAAAACATCAAAGTTGGTCTAACGGTTTAAGAGGAGTTTAGTGAAACACGTACGTGCTGACGAGTTAAATATATATACACATTAAGATATAGATTTTCTTTCTAGATAAATTTTCCTTATAATCTCTACAATTACATTTAAACAAGTTGAACAAAAAAAAAACAGATTAATAAGATTTAGTATTTGCTTGAGTATTTTGGTTTATTGAGTAAATATTGCTAACTAAGCATTTTCCATAATAACAAGGGTATCGTGAACAAAGTAGTACCACACCAAATTAACAAGAGCTTGATAAGTATTCTTTACAAGTACCTAATGATACTAGAGAAATCGTTAAATTAATCTGTAATAACCCTTGATACATGGCTTTAATTATGTTATGTTGATTTTGGATATAAAGGTCAATAACTCGGCATGGCAGCCTAATGGCATACATCTTAGATCATAGTCTAAAGATAGAATCTACATATTTTTTCAATTTTTTTTTTCCGATTAAGAATCCATGATTCTTTAAAAACCGAAAGATGAAAAAGTTTATAAGATTTAGAAGATACAGTAAAATTGGTAATAGTCATGTCCCGCTATAGAATTTTGAATCATATACATGCATGCGTCATAAATGCTTAAAATTCTGCTGATTAACAGTAAATATCAGTGGATACAATTAGTGGATTTAGCTCGAAAACTTACACTATGATGTTAATTAAAGTTTTTTAGAGGAAAATACTCTGTCCATCTGCAAGAAAGTTCATAACTATAAGTTGTTACATCATGCCACTATATATATATATATATATATATATTTCGTTACTTAATGTACGTACTTGACTTAATTCAGAAACCTAATAGTATACGACAATTAAATTTAAGTATAGTATTATAGGTAGGACGAAAGTGAAAGAAGAAATAGTATTGTGTGCAAATAAGACAAAATCAGTTAATTGCCGGCAATTTTTTGTAAATTAATTTGATAGACAGCAATAAATAAATTATGTTGAAGAATAAAGTTACTTTCAGTTCATATCTGTTAGCATACTAAAATTTAACGAAGCTTTGAAGTTAATATACTCTAGACTCCATATGCTTAAGATTCACCCGCACGATTTTGACACGTTTTCTTCAGAAGAATGTTAGACGTGGAAATGTGAATGTGATAGAAGTCAGTGTTGACAGTCGTAAATTTAATGCTAATATTTAGTCATCTTGTTGTTATTCAACCTTTTTTACAGTATACACAACAATTTTGAAGTAATTCAAGCTTGCCAAGTAATGGTTTAGTAAGATTCTTATAGCTGACGTCATCATAGTCAAGAATTGGAAGTAGTAAGGCTTTTGCAAACGCAGGTTAAATGACCACTGAAGCGAAAATTTTACGACTCTGCAATAATGGACTCCAAGATAAGGCAGTAACCATACAAACTGCCAGTTTAAAACTCGTACTAATCTTTAATGATGTGCCTCTAAATTACAAACTACCTCAGCTAACATCCATTGCCAATACTGCCAATAATAGGAAAAAGAAGGAAATATTTGCGATAAAGTCGTTTTTTGTTTTAAAAATAAGATGGCCAATGTCTGTGACGGGATGATGTAAATTTTAACAATACCCAATACATTCTCATCTATTCAGGCATGTAATTGTGCAAAAAACACCAAGAGCGAAGAGTAACGGAGACAAATTCCACCCTACGATACTTATATACATACATACATGGTATACATACATAGTCCGAGAAATAAATAAATTAGGTTCATTATTGTAACTAATCAGATATATTATTCTGCATTTACACCTAATATAACAAGGGTTCTTGCTTAATGCAAACCTGGGGAATTACGTTCGAAATCTTATATTCATATGTGAGTAGAATGAACAATTCACCTAACTTGTAACTAATTTAGAAGATTTTTTATTTTGCTTTAGAGTACCGGATGGGCTAGGACAACCATAGCGATACGTAATATTTACTACCTTTTTGAATACTTTTTAACTAGTCGGTTTGTTGATTTTTTCTTAATACACAATATTCTGGGAAAACCGATCCCCTTCACTAAGGACTGCCTGAGATAAGGCAAGGGGGGCCGTAATTACTCAAGTCCAGCCCATCCGGGCACTATCGTTTCCCGTGTTCTACAAGAATGGTGCCATGATATACACCTGCGAAATACGGCAAACACTGTTTTGTGATGCGATGGTCGTAAAAATACTTTACTCAAATCATTTTTGTAATAGCAGCTCGACTTGTTAACCTACAAAAAAAAAAAGACGTGTGGCACTCGGGGACTGCCGCGGTAAAGCTATTGCATAGCATTTTGTATCAACTTATGCAATTATAATTTTTTATTTATTTTATTTTTGCAGTATTTCTTTTTCTTTGATATTAATTCAAGTTACACTTTTTGAGCGTGGTGACCGATAAGAAAACATTTTTTTTTCTTTTATTAAATAAAAATATTGAAGCATATATTACAATTTGTTTTTAAATAAATAAATAAAAAATATTATTATTAAATCAAATTACATATCCATGTAAGATTTTTCTGCATTATGCTGACGAAATTTCCTTTGACGTTCAGCATTTGATTTTGGTACTGTTTTTTGTTTTGTTTTTAGCGTGAGGTTTTTTTTCGTTACGGAATTTCTGGATTCGGTCCCCGCGCTCAAGGCCCTCGATAGAAGCTATGCAATAGCTTAAAAATTACAGGTTTTAAAGCTCTATCAAGTTTATATATTTGCGTCATTTATTTAAAGTAATTAAAAAACGAAAAGTATTAGATGAACACGCGTGATGCGTATTCCATACGATGAATAATGTAATAAACCCAAACTTTGTAGTTAAAGCCATAGTCCTTAAATTACAAAAAAATACTATTCATATTATATTTGAGATCCTCATAATAAGCCCTAACAATTATTTTAAAATATCATACGGTACAGTTCGCATTTTTTAGTTTTTAATTGTATCTGTTATTATTGCGTATTGTGAAGTCACAGTTTGACAGTTTAATTATCACATAGACTTAGAGCTAATTTGGTGTGACAATAAGATACTACACATAAAGATCTAAAAAGGGTTTCGTTTTTTAATTCGGGCATAGAGAAAATGGCGGGCAATGAAAAGTTTGTAACACCTTATTTAGGGTTGTAAAACGAATTTCCCACTGGAACATTAATAATTTAAAATAGGCTCAGCTTTTCTTATTTTGTAAATTTATAAGATTATACCAAAAATTGATGGTAATAAAAATTAATGTGTGTTTGTACTCGACAAAATGCTTCTGTTGAGAACCCCGAGGCTGATTATGGAGCCAATGGGAATAATTCATAACGACACGATTTTATACGACGACGGTTTGTATTTGTAGCTACCTGCTCTGTTGTTATATAATTACGTAATTGGGCACATTTACGTTTCTTATCTTGGAAACATATTTATAGTAGCAGGTAAATATAATTAAATAGATTAAACAAGAGTATTCTATTTACATTAATCGTCTTTATCAATATTCGCAAACTATGACGATTGTTATAAAACAGTTTACGTAAATAAGTCAGTTTTTATTTAAAAACAACATTTCAAAATAATTAGTGTCACTGCTCGTGATCCTTAATCCTCCTGATTTTTACAAACATTGTTAATTCCTGTTCTTTTTGGTGTTTATTTTTGGATTAAATTGTTAAAGTGCTTATAGCATCAAGAAAAGGTTCTCATACAGAGATATAAATCATTTGTTAACCTAAATGTATCCAAGTGCTCTATGCAGTTAGTTTTATGCGTAAAATAAACCCCATTCAATTTAGGTATTCTATTAATTACGAGCCGCTTATTTCGCGTTAATAAAGTATTTAAGCGTTATACAGGACTCTAAACTAATATACGATAAACATATGGACTTCATCGTGAAAAAAGCCAATAAATCTTTAGGTTTTATTATCAGATGAATCTCAAATTTTAATAATATAAAACCTTTTAAAGTGCTTTATTCTGCACTGGTACGTGGTATCCTCGAGTATGCATCTGCGGTTTATAACCCGCATGGTAATGGTATATCTATCTTATATCTTTATAGGTATATTGATCGAATTGAGATTTGAGTTCATTCAAAAAAGGTTTTTAAGATATTTGTAGTGTAAGTGTATTGATCACGAATATGTGACAAAACGTAAGAGATATTATTTTTTGCCTTTAACAAATATACGTACTGTCTCCGATAATACTTTCCGATAATACTTTCCGATAATTTAACAATAATAACTTACGCAACAAACAAAAAAAATTTTACGCACTAGGTATAATCCGCCCTTAGTAGTACTTCGAACAAATACCAACTACCGCAAAGATTCATTTATTATTCCAGATTATTCGAGTAGATCTGGAAATGATATGCATAAATTGAGTAGCGAGTTTGAGCTCTTCAGATCCAGACTTTCACGAGTCAAAAAATGCACGCTTCAAACTTTTTTTAAGCCCAATATTAGGAGCGTGACATTTTCTTAGTCTAAGTTTTTCTTGTTTTTGTTTCCAAAAATCTGTTATTCCTATTAAGTTATTTTTTTCAAACGTACTTTTTTGTTGTTGTTGGTAAGTTATTTGAACTGTTGTTTTACACTTGGAATCTATTCGCCAATACCTGTGAATAGCTTAGTTGTTACATTATTGTAATGTTTACCGTACGTTATTTTTGCTGTTGATATTCCGTACAAAATAAAATAAAAATATTTCTTAACGTATTGAAAGCAAATAGCGATCATTTCAAAGTAGTTTTTGTGTGTGATTGTCATTATCATTAAAACAAGAAATTGAACTCAAAAGTGAAATGTAGTTATTTTTTGCCAAAGTAAAGTAATTGCCCAAAAGTTCGCACATGAATAAATGCGGTCTGCTTTCATAATAATAGTCATTGTCGAGGAGGGGAATAACAATGAACCTCTCTATAAAGTAAATTAGGTGTCATTTTATGTTGTTACTGTGTCGTGCGGGCTAACACGTTACAAATCTTTTAAATTCTCGTCTACTGCACCATAAAATATATGAATTACATAACTTTCCTCTTAACTCACTCTGTCTATTGATAAAAACCGTTCTGCAGTCTGTTATTTTGCAATAGTTTTTACCATTGCGAAATAACAGAATGCGGGAGGCGACTTTGTTATAGATAACAAAGTCCCGCAGTGCGCACGCAGTATAAACACTACGTAGAGATGTAGCTTTTAATATGATAATTAATTAATTTTATACGTGTACTTGGTAGATTTTAAAAGGGAAAACTATTTATTTCAATAATCATATTTGTTTTCGTCAATATATGAAAGGGCTAAAAGTAATTTTCTTTCTAAAGTTACATATTTTTAAGGCTTATTCCAACAAAGCAAATAAAATTGGGTATACGTACAAGCACCACCCCATCCGAGATATCCACTGGCATATGTCAACAATACACCGCCGGCAAAAATGAGGAGGCTACGTATTGTGGGTGCGTATATGTCACTGTGATCCGGGACCTCGTCTGATAATACTCCCCAAAATATTCCAAGTGCGATGCCAACGAATATAGCCAGCAAACCCTACAATATTATATACAAAGTCATTACTTGGCAATCATGATATTATCATTTAAATTAGAATATAAAAAATAACAGACAAAAATAACTCAATGCCAGTAAATATAACCAACATTTAATAATAATAATATATCTCACACATCACACACACGGCGGTCTAATCCCAAAACAAGGCAGAGCCTATGCTATGGTAACCAGACTGCTGATAAACATACTTATATATTTTTCAAATACATACATACTAAAAATAAATTACACCCAGACACAGAAGAAATAACCGCGCTTCTCACACAATATTTGTCTTGGAAGGGAATCGAACCCACGACCACCGGCTTAGCAGTCAAGGTCACTAACTACCACACCAACAGGCTCGTCAGTAACACCTGACTCCACCAGGTACATTTAAATTACTTAATTGTCGAAAGTTTTACAACTGTTTTATGCAACTGCTGCATAAATGTTGTTATAGACAGTAATTTTTAATTTCGTTTGTACAAACATAGAAAGAACATCTTATGTTTATTTACCTTCACAGTTCGATAGACTAGCGGTGCTGGATAGAAGATAGCACTATTAATTACACCGCACAAGCCTTCTGTAAACGCTGTGTCAAGTCCTCCAGCATTTCCAACTAACAGTGAAATTTGATTTTTAGTTCCTAAACCTTTTGCATGTAAACTTAGGGTCGTTGGTACAACAATAGCTGGTGACACTGAAGCTAGAATTGATCCAAGATGCAGACCTGCAATGAGAGTTAAATATTCTAACTCAGAAAGTAATTAATTACAAATGTTTGCACAAATACGTAAATTGCTTAGAAATATTCGGTTTATGTTTAACATTCGATATTCTCAATATTCCTGAGGTGCAAATAGCGTCTTTCAAAGAGGCTGTACATGAATAGACTCATTGTAGCGCTTGGTACTGATTTGTTACTGTAAGGACAGATTTTTTAACTTGATGTAAATGAAAATGCTCACGACTATTTAATATTAAGTGTTTAATTTCACAGTGTCATTCATTTATGTCACGTTAATAAGTAAATTTAATATCTTAAGCCGGCCACACACGTTACGATATACTTGCGCAGGTACACCAGCATAGGTGACCTCTCCAGTAGATCGTAACGTGTGTGGCCAGCTTTACTTACCCCAATACCACGGGTACTCGAGTAGTATATGAGCAAAAAACGCTGTGGACAAACACTCGATGATCCAGGGAAGAGTTGCTAATGAGAATACTTTTAACGAATGATGTCTAATATACTCCCAATTCCAGCTCAAGGGGCCCTTTGTCAAGATAATTACTGGATATATTCGTCTGTAAAAGTAAAAATATATATTATTGTCTTAATACACATAAAAATGCTTCCTAACGCTTAAGTCTAGTTCATAATTTTTAATCAAAATGTATTATTATGAAGGAATTGCACTGCAATAATGTAATCTACATATTTGTGATCAAAATAAATGATTAATATCATTTTAATGTTAAACTTTAAAGTTTATTTAATAAAGATTTAGTAGTATATTAATATAATCCCACGCCACTATTGAATAATTATTGCTAATCATGATACATTATTAAATTATTTTTGCTTCATTTACTTTCTACTGTTGGTCAAGAAGAGTTTTTTCTAAAAATCGGAGACTGGTTTTCGAAACATGTTTCTAAATGTTGACTTTTTATACATAGTAAAAGTAAAGTTGTTGAAGTTTCTCAGACTAAAATCGCTAAAGTTTACCGTTTTATATAAAAATCATGGTTGAATTGGAAGAGGCCTCTTTACATTTTACTGTCATAGTGACTCAAATGTACATATGCCTGAAGTTAACACAACGCGTAATTTCCTTGAAATACTTGAGTCAAGTAGGTATATTCGGCTTTCTCGAAACTTAAACTGACTTTTTCAAAGTTTAAATGACGAGTACTAAATACGATACGCTTGTTATATGTTAACTAACCTCAAATATTGTACATATGCAATATGTTTGAAACTAGCTCATTCACTCTTATCTAAAATGAAACAGCTATAATAATCAGCTACCTATGTGGCATTTGAAATAAAACAAAATGAAAATGACAAAACTTTATCAATTAAAAAGCCAAAACAGTGGTGTTATTCATCCCAATAACGTACGCGTTAATTTGGTACCAAACATTGAATGAGACTAATTAATTACAAGTAATAATAAAAAAATCAGACTGCAAAAAGACAATTTAAAAGTAAAAACACAAACATGGCTCATTAAGCTATCAATAAATCCTTTTTGAAAAACAGTTGAACCGACTTTAAACAATACCAACAAAGATCACTAAAAACCTAGCAGCAATCCCGATAATTTGCTGTTATTTGCTGTCCAGACTCATCATCAGATCTAAGTAAAATTTAAATGGGACCATTTCGGAAGAAAACCCTTGCGAACAAAAAAATGAATTTTGAAAATCCGTCTATATAACATGCATTAAAAATATATATTACCATCCGAATTGATAACCTCTTCCTTTTTGAAGTCGGGTAAAAACAAACTTTATTCAAATTCAGTACTATGTGGCTCAAAGCAAACTAGCAAAAATTTCTGTTTCTCTGCGTTAAAATTGAAAGACTGACACTTTTATGACATAGAGTGACACCTACAACCCTAAAAGTCACAAGTGCGTTGCAGGCTTTTGAGGAGAAAGTACACTCCTTTTTTTAAAGTTTGAAGATCATATCGGGATCATATCGGGCGAGGTAAAATGTTTCTTGACAAGCCCAAAGTGGTGAAGTGCTAATTATTCAAGTTAAGGGGATCGAATTTGCATCGCGTTGCACAAATATGCGAAAAACGGTAAGCATTTGACAGTAAAAAACTAAACAGATAGTAACTTTTATTATAAACATTACTCAATATTTTATTTATCACTTATATTTTACTAAAATATACAAAGATTTTCTTTAAGACAAAAATTATAAATATACCAAGAATAAGTTCACTAGAGCAGGTTTTTTTTGCCTTAAACCACATTTCTGTCGTGTTGTTGTTTTGCCAAATAATGGAAGTTTAGAACATTGAAGTATCAAATATTGTTAAATTTTCCATCATTATAATCTATCATCAATAATAAGTTTTATTTAATAGTGATTCATTTCAAATTTATCATGACGTCATGGCGAACAGTAAGATGCCTTTTGTATCTATATCAATTCATTCAATTCACAGAATTTTAGAAAATTGAAGTGCTCTTTCCTCATTGATGGAGCAAATTTTTTAATTGTTGCCATTTGTTGATACAAATGAAACTATTATCCTAAAAAGGCTGTAAAACACTTTATTAAGTAAGGCTTTTAGAAGGATTTTTTTAAAAGTGTTTCTTGTAGTTCCTCTTGTCATATTTTTGTCCTAAAAGGGTCAACCTTAATTTTAAGGAGTTAAAGAAATCACAAACCTTAAATGGTAATCAATAAGGTCCGCAGCAGGGTCCTTTAGGAAATTTGGAGGGCCAAAATTTCTGTACAGTGCCCCTGTTAACGTCATTCCTACGACTGGGTTGATTGTAGTAAAGCGTTCTAATGTATGACCAAATATGTAACCAGCTATTACAACACCCATCATGTTAAATAATGATCCGTCAGGAAGTATGGAATCTTTGAGCAGGAACCACGAAGATCCCCACAGTGTTAAACCTGGAAATAAAATTATAATAACGTCACAATGGAATATATTTCAACCAAGTACGACTGACACACTCAACCCCAGTTAGGTCTTTTCTTGTGAGACTTTCAGTAAGTCTGAAGTTGGCACAATGTTTGTGTGACAAGTACCTATAGCGTCTCTAAAGGCCGAATGAAGGCCTGTACCAGTCTGTGTAAATAATATAATAATATAATATAATATTTCGAACATCTGTCACGCAACGCCATATGGTTTCAAACTAAGCAAAGCTTGTACTATGAGAGCTAGAATGACTAATATAATACTTATATAGTTTTTTTTTTAAATACAAACATATTATACACAAAAAACACCCGACACAAATATTTGCAGATCTTACAAATATTTGCAGGTCCGTCCCGGAAATCGAACCCGAGACCACAACACAACAGTCTCATACGCTACCGCTGCGCCACAGAGGCAGTCAATAAAAAGATACATATTTAATTTAAAGAATACGTATAAGTATTTAATTAACCAAGATACTTATTTAATTTCATTTTACTATATCTACATCTACATAATTTTAGCTTTAAACAGTTCTAGATACCGTTCTAAATGAAAATATAATACTTAAGTATAAAATATTGAAATTGATTTGTTCTGTTTAGTAAAGTATCCGTTAACAAAAACTAATAAACTTATATATACATTTTCACATGGTATCGACCGCTATAACTTGTTTATTTTAATATTAAGAGATGTATGAATTATACAAATGTAAAATAGGTTTGGATTTATTGCCCTTGCAAAGTATGTTTCTTAGTTGTATATTCAGTAGGAGAGAACATTTTAGCTTAACTTTGATCAAAGAGTTTAGTTAAATTCGTTTTTAACACTTTGACTATTGGAAATATCTGTATATTCGATGAAGAATATATACCCTAATATCCCCACACTATCATCACCACTTTTGTGTTGTCCCGTCTATTCTTGTGATGTCACATTGACTTTAACTTAAGAAAAAAAATCAAGGTTGACGTACTAAACATATAATAATAAATTATTTCAGACGAGTATATACATATGTTCTTATAAATGAGAATAATATTACTGGATAATGGATATTTCTTCATATTTATCAAACATAAGTGAGCGAAGAAGTTATGCAGTCATCTACTTTATTTGTCGCAATACGTCTGAGCAGGTCATAATAGACAGCTGTTGTCCAAACTCATTTCTTTATTATGGAAAAAGTCATCTAAACTACTATGAAAACAGCCGTACTCGTATATGATAGTCTATTTCAAATCATCATAAGATAAGGCTAAGGGGTAATACAGAATTATTGATTATGGGTTCACGAGCTTAGTGATATGATTATTTGTATAATGTAGTTAAAATATATTTTTGACAACTTTACTAAAAAAGCTATGTTGTCATATAAACTCTAATAGGTCATCAGTTCACCTTTTTTTTTTTTTTTTTACGTGTGGAAATCCCCTCGGACCGTCACCCCGCCGGGGCTCTCGTTCGGCGGGGCGGTGTGTCGGACTCGAACCGACTAAAACCACACGGTGTGCCCTCTTTGCGCTTCCAGTTTAGGAAGGGTCCAGGACCCGCCGGGACCCGCTTAGGAATACATACCCTTCTTACTTAAATGTTTATTCATTGACAAGTCTTTTCTAGAGAGAGAGAGAGAGTGTGACCACTGTTTTATGAATGTAGGCCATTAGTTATGAATTTAGAATTATTCTGTTTAGTTTATGCAAGGGGTGTAACGACATATTAATAATAATAATATATGTAATTTATTGTCAACACACATGTGAAAACACACATGAGTTATTACAATCACAACAAGTATCCTAATTATGTTGTCTTCTGGTACCCAAAGTAAGATTTAGGTTGTGGTATAGGTACCAGGGCTCTTGTTGCATATGCATGAGGTGAATTTCTTAAGGTAAGAATAACCCACATAAGTACATATTCATATTATAATTATATATATCGCACTATTAAGATGATCGCAACATTATTTAAGTGACTTTCTAAAACTTTGGGCTTGGCAGACCTTGTGTGCACGGCGCTTTCTTGTGACTTGAATGTCATATTCAGACTAGTATGCTTTCTGCAGATTCTTTCAAGCACAAAGAGCTGTCTGACAGTAAGCAGTTCACATTCGTGATATAATTGTGCAGTCGGATATCTAATAGGCTTAAAAGTCATAACCTTACTACCTAGTCTTAACCTAAGGACTGCTCTTTGTGCTCGCTCCAGGGGTAGAAGATGCGACTTCACAGCTCCACCCCAGACAGATATACAATATGTTAAAACAGATTGAAGCAGTGCATAATAAACTGATTTTAGGGTGTCAAAATGAGCTGCGTGAAATATGATTATCAATAAATACTCCCAGATAGTTTGTGTGGGCTGATCTCAGTATAGTTGGGCAGCCGCAGGTATTAGTAGATGTGTATGTCGAACAAGTATGAGCTCTTAAATTTAATATTTTCGAAGATGGTTGAGTTATAGCTGTCTTTGAGAACGTGATGTAAGTAGTTTTCTTGAAGTTAAGTTTTAGAAGATTGAAAGCCACTGCATTACACGACTATTCTGGCCAATTTGAGCCACGGACAAGTTTTGCAGGATCATCTGTGTAGGTAATGATAGAAGAATGGGGAAGAGATAGGGAGCACAGGGAGTTTATGTAGAGGAGGAAAAGGGTTGGGCCAAGGATCGATCCCTTTGGGACGCCAAAAAGAAGGGGTGCGCTGCCAGTAACAATGTCGTCTATCTTTACACACTGTGTCCTATCAGAACGATAATCTTTAAAAATTCCGAGCGCACATCTGCGGATGACCATTCTTTCCACATCCAGTAAGATATGTGAAATAAAAAGCATTTTTTATATATAACGCTCATAAAACGTACAATATTAGATGACAATAGAACTGTATTATTTCTGTTATACGGCCATATATATTTAAAACTAGCGTATACCCGCGACTGCTTTCGCGTGGAATTTTAAAATTGCTGCCTTATTGGGTTCGATGTCCGGTCCAGTCGTTTTGAAGATTACCCGGAACAAACAGACAGACAGACAAAACAAGTTTAATCTAGTTTTTAGGAACAGGTGTCGTGCAAATAACCATGTGAGCAATAAAAAAAACCTATTATTTTGACATTACAAACAGACATTTCAATTTTATTTATTTGTACAGATGGTATCAATGGTAATTTTAACCATTATTAAATTTGGTGGAATGAAAACCAATCAAAGTCTAGAAATTCAATCTTATCAAAAATCTTTTTATGGTAATTATGTTGGTTGTACATCTTTCCATTTAAGAGTCTATCTATCTATTGATACGAATCGCAATCACATCAATTTTTCTAATACTGCTATTTATTATAAGAGTCAATAGGTTGTAACCCCTGTGTTACTTTCTTCACTAGAACCATTATGTAATAAACGTAGTGGGTTTATTTGCTTCTTAAAAATTATTGGTAATGTATTTATTATTACTAATCAACGTAATCAGGTGTCACAAGGCTAATTAGTGATCAAAATATGACACGCAGACAACTATATTGATTGCTTTGTAATGTATATTTTAAATCTACTTAAATTAATTCTAAACAAGTTGTTTAAAAATAAAAGGCATTCTTAAGTTTTAAAGGTCAATTAGACTGGTTTTTATAGGTTCATACCCAAAAAATATTTTTTATAACATTGATTCATTTTGTTTTTAAACTTGCTATTATTCAAACTAGAGATCCTCTGTTACATGTTTTAAATGAGTTTGCTATGGCATAGGTCATAGGGGGGTAGGTATATTGATAATTTATTTGTATGCATATATTATACTAGGTAGTTAGTGAATCGTCATCTGCCTCTTTTACTTATGTACTATAAAACCAACGCCAATCTGCGTTTATAGGAGATTGAGTAAACAATATTACCAAGTTTGTTTATGTTTCTGTTAGTAACTACTTTTAAAAGAAATTATTGATTGAATTTTTCAATTGCAGATCTGATAATGGCGTTTTACTTAAATTTTGTAAATGCTTTATACGGCAAAGGCAATAACTAAGTAACTAGCGGATAAGGCAAAAACTATTTCAATATTTAAATAAACATACTAAGTCTACTAATGCAATAGATTTGCGTGATAGCCACAGTTATTTTTTAACAACTAGTAGTTATAATCAATTCATTTGTATTAACGAATAACGAAATTAATTAGGTTGTTTTTTAAATGGTAGTAAATATTATTTTTGAAATATGATGCAATATTTGCATTTTGTTTGTAATATTAAATTTTACATTTTAAAAAATCGGTATTTCATGAAGAGGGTTTTTTTTTGTATGGTTGTAGTTGCAAGCATAATCAGATAACTTATATAGCAATAACTATTGAGCGGCGATATTTGACGGTCTGTAACTGTTGAAAATTCTCATATTTGCAAATCTCAAACTTAATCACGTCTAAGATTGTTTAACATTGTACATAATTCACATTCACACATAGAAACCCTTGGCTTTATCTGTGGTCTAGCGATAATAGATTAATCCAGCTAATTTACTCGCAGTAGTAACTGTGCAAGGATAGGAATAGCTTTGATTTGCTTTCTTTTTCTTAGTTACACAATGCGACATATGGAATTCTATAATATGATATTTTGTGGAGAAATTGATAAATAAGTTCAAATGCATGAGTTTTTTGGCACTATGTTTGCTGCCTTGAAACTGTTGCGTCATTTGTTATAAATCAGTCTAACAGACTAACTACAATTTCATTGAGCTAAAAAGCATTTGTAATTGTTCACATTGTGAAAATGTAAACCATTTACAATTCGTACCATGTCAGATAAAACACAATGAACTATTGTTGCAACTGTACAATCGTCAAACGAACCAAGTGATTTTTATATTACTCACACCTTATCGATTCTTTTTATTTCAGTTACTGCCGTAAAAAGAAATGGAAAGTAAAACCAATTTGCTTTTGATTATCAACCATAGATG